AGAGAGAGAGAGAGAGAGAGAGAGAGAGAGAGAGAGAGAGAGAGAGAGAGAGAGAGAGAGAGAGAGAGAGAGAGAGAGAGAGAGAGAGCATGGGATCACGACTACTGCACGGCAGGATTTGGGTCACTCAACTGCCCCACAAACTCATTTTTATCCTATACCGCTGCTAGTGGGACCTCGCCCCTGGATTTTACGGATTTGAAAGGGGGGGGGGTCGATTTCTAGACTTCGTTTTTTTTTTTTTTGCTCTGAGAAATCGAACTTGAAATGTGAAATTCAAATATTGTGGTGGATCTGACAGGAACGCCTCCGCATCTGTCGGATGGTCTGTTAGAGGCATCATGAGATACATGGTGATGAATGTATCCCCATACCCGTTACTTGTTCATCCTCGTGGCTGTGTTCGTGGACACATTTTATTGCCACGGTACGTCACTATGAAGACTTACGTGAAAGAGATCGTACCAACCCATGAATTCGGGTGCACAGCTGTTGTTCTCTGTTTTATGTGCCATTTCAGGTCATTTTAAATCAGAAAACGACCAATTCATGCAAAAAAAAATCACTTTGTCTTTTCCAAAAAACCATACAATTGCATCACACATCGTAGAATACTTCGTGAAAACATGTTGCCGGTGTGCGACCGGAGTGGGGTCCGACCGGCGCGTTTCCGCCGGCGCAATAGCGCTCGGACCAAATGAGTCCCCGCTCGGCAACGACAGAGTGTCTCGTCGCGGAGCATACCATCATGATTCGCCCTCAGTATTATCCAAGCGCTGTTACCTATTCTCTGTAGTAGGTCATGGTTAGGTCTACTAGCTATGGAGGCTGCTAAGAAAAGACACCCGGAAGGACCCTGAGAAAGCTCTACCATGCCTTCAACTCCGTTGACCGTTTAACATATAGTAGAGACGGTCTGTCTATTTCTTTCTCTTCTCACCATTCTTGCTAGGTGTTGTAGAAGCGCTTTAGATTTCGAGTAACAAAGTAGATAACCAATCACAAGCAGCATGGCAGAAGTGGAGATGATTCGAGAAGAAAATCGTTCACCTCCGAGGGCACCAGAGCTCACATCAGAAGATGACAACCGACTGAAGGAACTAGTACGAATGTGCTACCACGATGGAGTTATGCCTATTGATATTGACCCTGGCGAGATGACTGTCGAAGGCAGAGAAGTTAGATTTAAAGTTAACGCGACGTTGGACCAAGCAAAAATTGCTTGGCTTAAGAAGCATACGGTTACATTTATCTTCAGAGCTGGCGCGCGCTTCCTACCAAGAAACGTTAAGGACGATATAGTTCGAGCTTATGAAGATAAGCAGATTGTTGAAGGGAGCTTCGAGGCAGATTCATTTCGGAGAGGCCGAGTCAAAATCGAATCTCCAAACGTGGTATCCTATATAGCGAAGTCACGGGAGATTGCAAGGTGGGTGGTAAACAAAGGCTCAGACAAACTCATTATGGGCTCGCATAAGTACTTTTTCGAGTTCAAACCTTGGCTAACCAAGGCACAACTGCTTGCTCAAAGAAGAGTGGAAGACGAGGAGAACTTCTGGGTGGTCGTTGTACAAGTACCACTAGATACTTTCATTTATTTGGAAGTGCAAATCAGGCGAGCGATTAGACCGGTACTGCGATCTCACCCTAGAGAACAAGACAGGATGAAGCCATCACTGGTGAACATTAAGTTCGACATGGATCCGGCGGCGAAGAACAGTATGAAGGACAAGATTTGGATCGATACACCAGAAGGCGATTCGTTAGAAGGTAAGTTGGTGTCGGCAGTCACGCCTCTGTGTAGACGTCGTCGAGCTTTCTTTCACTCCGACTCTGAATGTCGTCGAAATACAAGTCAACCTAATCAAGCGTCGAGCGGTCCGGCCATCCCTCGAGCGGCGACAAGCCAAGCTCCAACGCCAGCCCCCGTATAGTCTGGTCCATTGGGACCAACTGGAGCAGCAAGTTCAAACGGCAATACAGCCTCAGGACCGATGGCAGCCCCCCAAGCTGGAGCACATGGTTCAACTATGCCGGCAGTTTCGGTACTCAATCCTACTTTCTCTCCTGGATTGGGCTCTTACCCGAGCTACGGACTCTTGCCGATGGGTGGCTTCTCACAAGGAATGGTAGGATGAAACATGAATGTTCCCCCACCATGGAGCATGCCTCCAGGTCAGTTCGGAATGCCGCAACAGCAGGGTGTGACTCAGCCTTCGGCTTTTACCACTTACATACCACTCCAAAATCATTTGGGAGGTTCGAGTATGGCGTAAGGGGAAGTCATTTCGACAACCACGAGAGGACATTCGACATTTGTTGTACCATCGACATCTGAGGTGATGACTGGAGGACAAGGAATGATTGTGCTACATGGACCTAACAGTACTGCGAGAGATGCGGCGGCCCCTGGAACTTCGAGAAGTCGCACCAGCACTCCAGGCAAGCAAAGAAGGTTACACCAGGAAGGAAGCTTCGCATCGGGTGGCAGTCATCTGGAGGGAGAATCATCCTCATCATCATCTCAAGACTCCGGTGAAATTCAATCAATCGGGATACCAGGCCAGAAGACTACACGAAAACGGATTCCAGTTTCACTGTCGAAAGGTCAACTGAATGATATAGAGAATCGAATTCTCTCGATATTTTGTGTGGCAATACGGAAAGCAACTTGGTTTGTAGCCTTTGCAGACCAGGAAGGTACACCCAACGTGGTAGGCCTTCTCTCCCCGGACACCCCTATGCCTTCGGCCACAACTACGTTAATTCGTACTGCTATATCAAACAAGTTTTCCTTTCGCCTGATTTCAGATCTTGTAATGGTTCGATTGATCATCGATAACCCTGATATCAGAGGAAAGAAGATCAAATACTTCGTACCTTTAGTGGATGTCAGGTTTAAGATTGGTCAGATCGGACAGCTTGAGACCGAAGGTCTGCGCCTCCTTCCAATTGCATGGTTCATTGAGAGAAAGCGTCAGGAACTAAGGCGCATTCGGATTCCACCTCTGAAATCGGTTGAATGTCTAATGGAGTTAGAATCACGTCTCCCAAAAGAGAAGAAAGTGAATTCCTCCTTCGCCAGAGATGCCTGGACCTCCCCGTGGCCAATGGAAGATCTTAATCCCGATCTCTCTCAAATCCTACAGTGGATGAGAGGCGAAACAAGCAGACAATAAACCATGAATAAACTCAGACTAGTGAGTTGGAACTTACGAGGTATGCGGGACACAACAGGAACCTTCAAGAAAGAAAGGCTAAAAACATACCTGCATGATCACAATATTCACATAGCATGTATTCAAGAAACAAAATTAAATGAAGAGAAAATCAATGCCCTAGGCCGCTGGTGGGAGGGTCCACAACTGTGGTCCCCAACTATTGGCTCAAAAGGTGGTGTTGATATTCTTATCCATAGAAATCTGAATGCTGAAATTGTGGACTGTTATGCAGATCTTTGGAGTCGATGGAGTTTGATAAAGTTGTTAATTAACGAAAAGGAATGGCTAATTGCCTCAATTTATGCCCCCACCGACCCTTGCCTCCGCATTATCTTCTTTCAAGATCTGTTGTACATTCTGCCTGAATCTGAAAGGACAATCCTGGCAGGGGATTAAAATTCGTCCCTGGACATCTCGATGTTTTCACAGATATTCAATTGCCCCAGGGATAAGGTTGCACTCACCCAGCTAATGGAGACCTTGGGATTGATAGACCCCTACAGGCTCACTCACCCGGACGAGAACGTATTCACATGGTTTTCAAACCCAAGAAAAGACGTAGGAGTCATCAGCAGACGATTAGATTATTTCCTAACTTCTCAGAACTTGTGGGTATTTACTACTGATATTTATGAGAATCCCACCCAATGTCCGATCATAAATATGTCCTGATGACAGTTATATCAACCGAGTTTTCTCGAGGAAATTGAATTTTTCGCTTCAACACACAAAATTTGGAAGATGAGGGATTAGTGGCATGTATGGGGAAATTTTGGGAAAGTTGGAAAGAGGCCCGGTCCTCCTTCAAATCTGAGGCTGAATGGTGGGAAAACGGTTCTCGCATTTTCTCCAATTTGTTGTCAGTGTTCTCAAGAATAAAATCTTACCAGCGCAATAAAGAAGAGATGACTATAACAAAGAAGATAACATACGCAGAGCACAGGATGACACAACACCCGATATCCAATCTGGTATGGGGAAAAGAAAGGGTGAAACTACTGACATAGTAATCTCCAGAGAAAGAAATCTGAACTGTGGGCTGAGAGATTGAGAGTCATGGGTATCACAGTGTACGACCGCATGACGAAGGAATCCTTCCAAAAGCGATTCCTCGCCACTCAACAGTCTCCATGAGAGAGTTGAGTCATCCCTTCGATCAAGTGGCAAGCAGAGCGAAAGACCCAAACAGTTTGTGCAACTATGCTGCTGCCTATTACAAAGACATCTTAACCTCACGATTACAAGGCGCCAACATAGTCAATGACCTGCACCTACACAGTGACCATTGGCAACAGACCACTGTTCGACTTTCTAATGCTGACAGACTAGACCTTGACTGCCCGATCACAACTGAGGAAGCCTTTGAAGCCCTAAAGGCCATGTCAAAAGGGAAAGCCCCTGACGATGATGGCCTACCAG